TACGTTTCAGTTTCACTTATTATTCAGCACTGTAATGGCATAGATAACTGATCTAACTGGGAGTGCCTTTATGCAAAGATTTCCTTTTATCTATTTATCTTAGGATCAACATAGAGTAATTCCTTAAAAATTGTTGTGCAAAGAAATCACACATTTCTGTGTGCCTCTCACTAGCTGGGGAGCTCCTCAAAGACAGTTTACTCGGTTTATCCTTACAGCCTCAATACCTGGCACACATTCTCAATTTAATGTATTTTTGTTAAATAAGTGAATTCATGTGTAAGTGAAAGGGTGTCCTTTCTGAGCTCGGAATAGCAAAAGAAATATCTGCTCACAACTGGGAGACCACAAAGACACCCTCCTTAAGTCCTAGGTCAAGTAGAAAGACAGTATCTGCCCACTCCTCAACCTGCTACAGAGAGTGGGGAGGGGCCCTTCTCCGTGTGCCTCTCGGAGTGACTTGAAAGAAAGTGCCAGTGGCTATGGGCACGGCAGAGGCCCAGACCACCCTCCTCTGTCCAGTAAGGCCCTGACCCCTTACCCTTGGCACTCTCTGCGACTCTGTGGTGGATTTGGTTTCTCTGTATTTGCATACAGGTTTTCTTCCATATCTACCTTTTTATTTTGACGAATGTATTCGGACATCCTTTCTGACCTCATTCTGCTTTCTTCTTACCCTGATTTTACCGGTCCTGTCATTAATATGAGAAGAACTCCAATCAGTATTAGTATCAAAAAGGCCACTATCACAGGGACCGTAGGAAAGGGAATAGGCAGCAAAATAAAAATGTATCCAGGGTGGGCACGTGGTTGAGGATGGAGGAGCTCACTCAGCATTCCTTCCAGGAGCACGGGGATGGCTGGGGCAGGAGAGGGACCAGGTTGACAGGCGACGGTGCAAGGTATCAGCCACAGGCCAGGATGTGCCCGTGGAGGACCCTGGCACTCAACTCTGAGGGATTCGGATGCACCAAGTGGAAGAGGAGACAACGGATGCACATGGCAGCTCACACAGGTTATTTGAGGATGGGCAGGGGTCAGCGGGTGCACAATGCTCTGCTGACAACATGTGATGTTTGCTGTGACAAAGAGATGGCAGCTGAGATTCCAAATGTTTGGGTTGAGCCTTCCCAGCTCAATTTTTATTCAAGCAGCTAGTGAGCCACTTGAAGGGACCATTGTGTAAATGGGTGACAGATGTGCGCTGAAATCGTGACAGCTTTAGGCCTCTGGGTGGCCTGAAGGAGGAGGCCAGCCTTGGCCAGTGGAGTGGGAAGACTTGGCACGGGGTCCAGACAAAAACCCAGGAACACAGTGCAGCCAGAGTGCTGTTACCCAGTGCAACCCGTCTACTGCAGCAGTGGGCTCCAGAAAGCTCTGTGCCCTTCACAGGTGAGCACTGGGGGCTCCACTCCTGGCTGGCTCCCCACAGGAGGGAGAGAAGGAGTGGGAGGGCTTCTGATCCTTTAAGCAGATGATGTTGCCTGCAGGGCTCAAGCTAGTTTGTGTTTTCTGTTGATGAATTCCTCACCATTATTTCAAAGCACTATATTTGAAAGTTTTCCCACATTTTAAGTTTACAGGGGGACTTCAAAAATTTGTAGAGAGGCTGGCGTGGTGGTGCAGAGGGTTAAGACACCACTTGCAACTCTGGCATCCCTTATGTTGGTTTGAGTCTCAGTTGCTCCCTGCTAATGCACCTGGGAAAGCAATGGAGCATGCCCAAGTGCTCGGGCCCCTGCACCCACGTGGGAGACCTGGATGGATCTCCATGCTCCTGACTTCCGCCTGGCTCACCCTGTCCATTACCACCATTTGGGGAGTGAACCAGCAGATGGGAGATCTCACTTTCTCTCTGTCTCTCCCCCCCTCTCTCTGTAACTTGTCTTTTAAATAAATAAACAAATAAATACTTTTAAAAGGTTTGTGGAATTAAAGGATACATTTACGGGAAGCAAAAAGAAATTTTTGGAATCTAAGCACAACATTTTCATAATGCACACTTTCCATGTACATTCTAAGGAGCCCAAAATAAACTTATCTTTTAATTCTAGTTTTCTCTGAACTTTCTGAAGTATCTTCATGTTTGCATTTTACACTATAATTTTTTCAAATGATTGAAAAACATGATTTAGAAAATTTCACCATTTAGTTGAATCAAAATAGTTTCTTGTGGAACATGACAAGAATTTTTTTAGAGGCAACTTGTCGCTCCCCCTCTTCGTGGAGGAACGACACAGGACCCTGCGCTATTCTTTCGTCTGCTCGGCCCTCCCCGGGTTTGCTGCTGGTTCTTCCCGGGTTGGCTACTATCCCTTCCACCTCCGTGGAAGGGCAGTTCCCCCTGGCCACATTCCCCACTTCCGCAGGGGAGCGGCACACCGCCGGCCGGCTCTCTCGGGGGGGCTGCACAGGTGTTCCTTCAGCTACATGTTCCCCTTAGATGTTCCTGGTGCATGCCGTCTCTCTCCTCCTTTATAGTCCTCCTCCGCCAATCCTAACTCGGCTGCCCACACGCCGAGTACGCTGCTCTCCTCCAATCAGGAGCAGGTCCTACAGTTTATTGGTTGAACTGGAGGCAGCTGTGCGGAAGCTGTTTACTTCTCTCCCAGCGCCATATTGTGGGAGAGCAGATGCATAGAATAAGTCCTAATTCCAGTAACTCAGTCTAGTCCGGTTTGCTCCCCACAGCAACTGACAGAATGGGAGAAATTATTTGCAAACTATACAACAGATAAAGGATTAATAACAAGAATATATAAACAGATCAAGAAACTCAACAACAACAAACAACCCAGTTAAGAAATGAGCAAAGGACTTGAACAGACATTTTTCAAAAGACAAGATCCAAATGGCCAACAGACACATGAAAAAATGCTCAGGATCACTAGCCATCAGGGAAATGCAAATCAAAACCACAATGAGGTTTCACCTCACCCCAGTTAGAATGACTTTCATACAGAAATCAATAAACAACAAATGCTGGTGAGGATGTGGGGAAAAGGTACCCTAATCCACTGTTGGTGGGAATGTAAACTGGTAAAGCCACTATAGAAGGACAGTATGGAGATAACTCAGAAATCTGAATATAGACCTGCCATATGACCCAGCCATCCCACTCCTGGGGATTTACTCAAGGGAAAGTCAATCAGCATAGGAAGGTTATCTGCAGCCCATGTTTATTGCAGCTCAATGCACAAGCTCACGAGAGCATTTCCAGCATGAAAAGCCAAGACACGGAGGCAAAAAATGTCCTACATGAAGGATCTCAGTGGGTGAGACCCCAGTGGAAAGAATGGGCCATCAAAGAAGGAGGTCCTTTCTCTGAAGGGAGGAGAGAGCTTCCACTTTGCTTATGGCCTTGTCTAAATACTGACAAAATTCACGGATTTGGAAGGCTTCCATAGTCTCGGCAGCACATGTGGGGGGCCTCGGGTGGTCACTGACATCATGCATAAGAGTGTTAATTGTTAAATTAACAACGGGAGTCACTATACACTAACTTCTCTTGTAGGATCTCTGTCCTCAAAGAGCTGTATGATGAGAGTTAATAGTAAAAGTTGTACTCAAAGATTTATTTCATTTTAGTGTATTAAATGGAGAATATTCTTATGTTGCATAAGTTTTAGTTATGCCTAAGTGTCCATCTTCATTGCTTGTTTTCTTAGGTGCTTCCTTAATTAATGATAAAACTCATTTTCAAGGACTTACTCTCTTTTAATGAATTAAGTGGAGGATATTCTTATGTCCCATAAGTTATAATTATTTCAGAGTGCTCACAAAAGATGTATCATTCTTGGCTGCTTCTTTAAAGTTAATTAAGTTTTTTTTTTTTTTTCAAAAAAGTGAAATTAACTTTGAGATGCAATGACTTTGAACAGCCCCTGTCTCAACTGTTGAGGAACATTTTTTATTTTTATTTTTTTGTGCAAATTGTTGATCGCTTTACTCAGTATAGAGTTGGTCTTCTGTGTATAAAGTTAATTGAAGATGGATCTTGGTGGAGAATGAGACTAGGAAGAGGAGAGGGAGGAGGAGGAGAGGTGGGAGTGTGAGTGGGAGGGCGGGACGGTGGGAAGAATCACTAGTTGTACTTAAGAAATGCATGAAGTTTGCATTCCTTAAATAAAGGGTTTCTTTGGGGAGACACAAAAATTTAAAAAAGAAAGATTTTTATTATTTATTTGAAAATCACAGTTACAGAGAAAGATGGACAGACAGATCTTCCATTGTCTGGTTCACTCCCTAGAAGACCACAATGGCCAGGGCTGGACCAGGCCTAAGCTAGGAGCTTCTTCTGGGTCTCCCACATGGCTGGCAGGAGTCCAAACACTTGGGCCATCTTCCACCAATTTTCCAGGCCATTAGCAGGGAGTGGATCGGAAGTGGAGCAGCCAGGAAAGGGACTAGCACTGATACGGGATGTTAGCATTGCTGGCAGAGGCTTAATCCACTACATCACAAAGCTCCCCCAAGTGACAAGACTTTAAGATCAAGGCCAGCAACGGGGCTCACTAGGCTAATCCACTGCCTGCGGCGCTGGCACCCTAGGTTCTTGTCCCAGTCGGGGTGCTGGATTCTGTCCTGGTGGCTCCTCTTCCAGTCCAGCTCTCTGCTGTGGCCCGGGAAGGCAGTGGAGGATGGCCCAGGTGCTTGGGCACTGCACCCCATGGGAGACCAGGAGAAGCACCTGGCTCCTGGCTTCGGATTGGCGCGGTGCGCCGGCTGTAGCGGCCACTTAGTGGGGGTGAACCAATGGAAAAAGGAAGACCTTTCTCTCTCTCTCTCTCTCACTGTCTAACTCTGCCTGTCAAAAAAAAAAAAAAAAAAAGACTTTAAGATCAAAACTGAACAGCCTTGATCAGAAGCTGAGATGTGAGTCTTGCAAGGCAAAATCCTGATACGAAAGTTAAGAACTATCCTCATTAAAATATTTGAAAAGTGATTTGAATTGTTAATACAAATTCAATGAATATTGCATCTAATATTTTTATCTTCATGCTTGGCATAATTATTGCTGAGACTTGCAAAGGCTCTAAGAATTGGTCTTTGCAAACAGACAAGTTAGCCTGATAAACTTTTTGGACAATGACAGAAAACAGGAGATTCGTGTGTCCAAGGAAAAAGATATTACTCGCAGCAGTCGCGGTCTCCTGAGTAGCTATACTTTTGCATCAGTGCCCAAGCCCCACAGGACGACATGGACAGGGCCAGGTAACAGCTTCATATTGCCTGGGCTGCATTACAGAAGAGGAACTCTAACCTTAGGAAAGTCAGATTCATTAAAAGGGAGACTAAGCATACCTGCCACCTTGCTCGGAGGATGACAACATGTCTCCCACAGTCATCAGTGACTGTGCGTGTAAGGTGTCTGAAACTGGGGAGACCCAAGGGTAATTGTCTCTCAACACCTATGTAGTATAAACAATACAGTGATTTTCTTCATAATGCCCCATAAGATCACCTTTGCAAATATTTCCACTTTCCCCAAAGTGCCATACAAATAATGGACATTCTCTGTGGACCATCATAGGAATGAGTTCGAAGAACACTGGGCTCCCATGCTTAGCGTCTCCATTCCCTGGCTGCTATGTTTTCTTAGGGCTTCCACAGCAATGTGCCACAAACTGGGTGGCCCAACACTTTTTTCTCTTCCAGGTCCTGAGGTCTGAAGTCTGAAATCCAGGTGATTGCAGGTTCATGCTCCCTCTGATGGCTCTGGGAGAAGACCCTTGCTTGCCTCTTCCTGGCTGCTATGGGTTAGTGACAATGCTTGGCCTTCCTGGGCCTCCAGGTACATCGCTCCAATCCACCTGTTGGTGCATGGGATTCTCCCTGTATGCATCTCTGTCTCTGTATCCCTACCCATGCTAAGCTACTATGACCTCATCTAACTCAATCATAGCTGCAAAGATCCTATTCCTAAATAGGCTCACCTCTGCAGACTCTGAGGATTAGTACCTGAACATATCTTTTTGAAGGACACATTTCAACCCCCAAAAGGTGTAAGCCAGAGGTATAAACTCCAGATTAAAATGCTGCTTAACTCAGGGAGACAAAGAGACTCAAAACTCTTTCCTTTCAAAAAAAAAAAAAAAAAAACAAAACCTTGACATCTAGAAAAGTTTTGATAATATAACTAATATATTCCACATTAAATCCATCCACTTTACCTATAGAAAATGGCTAAGGAGCGAGCCAAGAAAGAGAGAACATCGTGTGTATCTTTGAAAAGTCAAATCAACAAACAACAAATGCTGGTGAGGATATGGGGAAAAGCATCCTCATCCACTGTTGGTGGGGATGTTAACTGGTACAGCCACTGTGAAGACAGAATGGAGATACCTCAGAAAGCTGAATATAGACCCACCAATCCCACTCCTGGGAATTTATCCAAAGGAAATTAAACCAGCATATGAAGAGGTGAGCTGTACCCGCCATGTTCATTTCAGCTCAATTTGCAATAGCTAAGATATGGAATCAACCTAGATGTCTATAAGCTGAAGACTGGATAAAGAAATTATTGTGTATATATATATATATATATATATATATACACACACACAATGGAATACTACACAGTGGTAAAAAAAAATTAAATCCTGTCATTTGCAACAAAATGGATGTAACTGGAAAACATCATACTTAGTGAAACAAGCCAGTCACAAAAAGACAAACACAATGTGATCTCTCTGATCTGTGGTAACTAATAAAAGTACCTAAAAGGTAATCTATCCAAGTGAAACTGACACCTTGAAATGCAATGAATTCGAACAGCCCTTGTCTTAACTGCAGAGGAACACTGTTTTTCTTGTTTGTTTACTTTTGTTCCTTTTCCTTCATACTGTTCAGTGAACTCTCTACTTAGTGTAGGGTTAATCTGATGAGTATAAAATTAACTGAGAATAGATCTATATAAAAAAGAAGAGTGAGAGAGGGAGAAGGAGGAGGAAGAAGGGAGGGAGTAAGAGTGGAAGGGAGGCAGGGAAGGAAGAATCACCATGTTCCCAAATTTGTATGTATTAAATGCATGAAGTTTGTATTCTTTAAATAAAAAATAAAGTTCATGAAAAATGTATCATGAGAAAAAAAATCAAACCAAGAAACACATCACTAATAAATATCACATCTTGCCTTCTTAATCTCTATCTTAGAAAAATAAACCTGTTTATCATACACCCACAATGGCAATCATGCAAGCACTCAAATATCTGAGCTGATCATACAGAAGGCACCATGTTAACAGTCGAACATCCAAGGAACTAGGAATTCCACACCCCCATAGACTGCCAGCAGGGCTGTCCCCCAGGGGATCTGTTCAATGCGTCAGACCTGGCCAGGAGCCCAGCTCCCCTCTGACACAGCTGTCAGGGTGGCTTGAGCACCTGTCAGTCTTGCCTCATCTTTGGTTCCAAAGAGCTGCCTTTCCCAAATCTCCAATCATGAGAGGGGACTCTGTTCCTCCTCACACACGGCACTGTCATCCTTGCCATTTGCTCTTTCTTAGCTGAATCAGTTCCCTTAAGCGCCAATCTTGGATTGGGACAGCTACAGATGGATTCCACATCAGCTCCCGCCCTCCCTGGCCATCCAGTCACAACTAAGTGCTTTCCCCTCTACTGGGTTATGGCCACAAGAATGCCTACTGAAGGATAGGGTCAGAGATGGCTGTCCATGCCAGGTACTGTTGCCTGATTCCCCTTTATCCTCTGCCTAGGGGCCCATTCCCTAGTACTGGTTTGTGTCCCAGCTGCTCCACTTCCAGTCCAGCTCCCTGCTAATGGCCTGGGAATAGCAGTGGAAGATGGCCCAAGTGCTTGGGCTCCTGCCACCCACATGGGAGACCTGGATGAAGCTTCTGGCTCCTGGCTTTGGTCCCGCCCAGCCCTGGCCATTGCAGCCATTCAGGCCATAGAAGAGAGCTAGATCAGAAGTGGAACAGCTAGGATTTGAACCCATGCCCATATGGTATGTCAGCACTGCAGGCAGAGGCTTAGCCCACTATGCCATGGTGCCAGCCCATGAGGAATGGGCAAACTGATAGAAGATTTCTCTCTGTCTGTAATTCTGACATTCAAAATAAATAAATAAAACATAAAAAAATAGCCAGGGCTGGTGCTGTGGCATAGCTGGTTAAGCCATAACCGGTAGCACCGGCATCCCATGTGCTTTCTGCTCCACTTCTGACCCAGCTCCCTGCTAATGTGCCTGGGAAAGCAGTAGAAGACAGCCCAAGTCCTTGGGCCCCTGCACCCATGTGGGAAACTCGGAAGAAGCTCCTGGCTCCTGGCTTCAGATAGGCACACCTCCGGCCGTTGTGGCCATCTGGGGAGTGAACCAGTGGATGGTAGACATCTCTCTCTCTCTCTCTCTCTCTCTCTCTCTGCCTCTCCATTCTCTCCCTCTCTGTAACTATGCCTTTTAAATAAATAAATAAATCTTAAAAAAAATTAGCCCTCTTGCTCCAACACCAAAGTAGATCCTACCTGAAAATCATTTCTCTGTATTTGTAAAGATGGGAAATTTGTAACTAAGCTGCCAAATATTAAAGCCAAGGACTTCAGTGGCAATATGTGGAGAGTTTACCATTATTTTGTCATTAGGAAAATTCAAACATATTAAAAACAATACACATGTGTAAAAGGAATTCTATGTATTCATCACACTGTTTGAACTATTAACATTTTTTCAATCTTATCTCATCTGCCTCCCCTCATGGAAAGCAAACACTAGACATCATGTCATTTTATCTCTGATAACCTCGCCGCCCTCTTAATGGCCCAAATGAAATTGCTTTTTGCAAATCTGTATGAGAATAAGGAGGGGCATCACGAGGCGGGTTTCAGGATGTGAGGTTCAAAATGTTACACGCATTTTTCCACATAAAAAGCACTCACAAAATGGATTTCTTTCACCTCTGCTTTCCTCAAAGATAACTGCCGCTTTACAAAATCTTCTGATTTTAAATTGTATTTATCTCATTATGAACAAACCAGTTAATAAGGCTTTGTACTTGACCCTAACTGGCTTGACCTATTCTATTTTCAAAGATTTATAAGGTGAAACTGTTGAGCGTCAAGTCAAGACGGTTAAATGCAGGCAAGCATATTCAGGAAACTTCCAAGAGCAAAGTGCGTACCTCTCCGGAGCCTAAGGATGGAGTGGAAGCCCAGGACGCAGGTCCCAGCCCCGTCCAGCCACAGGGAGGAGCTTGCCTCCTGATTCTCTTCCCTGGGAACGCCTGTGCTGGTGTGTTTTTAGAAAGCTCACGTGTTGGAAATATCATCTTCAAGTTCATAGGTGGATAGCGTGGGAGGCAGGGCCTTGGGAGGTCAGGATTAGCGGGGGCCATGAGGCCCGAGTGGCCTGGTCAGAAACACGCTTCCATGCCTGTCTCTTGCAGTGTGACGCCTCCCCAGCATCCAGCGCGGCAGGAAGGCCCCCACCAGACGCTGCCTCCTGGATGCTCCACTTCCCAGCCTCTGGGGCTCTGCAGTTAACTCTCAGCTTTGTTGTATTCCCCCACGCCAGGATGCAGTTACAGCACAGGAAGCGGACTGATGTCCTTGGTTCTCCTCTGTGTTTATCTCTGGTCCTAGCCTCTGCTTCTAAGAACACCAGTCCAGTTGGTCCAAGGCATTCATTCGTTCTTGAATTAACTATAAAAATAGCGCATCCTAAATAAGAAACACAAGAGCAAAAGGTCCAGCACGACAAACATCTGGAGTGACCTCCTCCCTTCAGCTCTGTTCTCAGCAAGGTTGGTCCAGCGCGTTAGTTACAGCTACTGTGCAGCAAATTACCCCTGAAACCTGGCGGCTTGCAATGGGGAGCACTCTGGTTTCTGAGGGCCCTGAGGTGGCCCTCAGCTCAGAACTGCGCTGGGCTGGGGGCTCTGGCTGGGAGCAGGCCTCGGTTCTCACCGTTAGGCCCCAGTTGGTCAGGAACCTGGTCTCTGGTTTCCATCGGAGCTAATGGTCATGGGAGAGAGACAGGGAGAGGAATCACGCAGCCACGTGCCACCTAGCCTGAGTCACACCGTGCCCACTGTCTTACTCTAATATTAGAACCAAGTCAATAAATTCAGCCCCCTTCCAACAGGAAGATTGAAGACGCCACTAGAGAGGCATGTTCTGTCTTGTTTATTTAGTAAAGAATTATTTAGTTGTTTGAAAGGCAGAGTTACAGAGAGACAGAGAAAGAGAGAGAATGAGAGTTCTTTGATTGACTGGTTCACTCCCCAAATGGCCATGATGGCCAGAGCTGGCTGATCCAAACACAGGAGCCAGGAGCCTCCTCCGGGTCTCCCACACGGGTGCAGGGGCCCAAGGACCTGGGCCATCTTCTACTGCCCTCCCAGGCCACAGCAGAGGCTGGGTTGGAAGTGGAGCAGCCGGTAGCTTTATCCGCTGTGCTGCAGCATCGGCTGCAGGCTCTCTTAGAAGCTGATGGCCACAGTGCTGAGCCTGAGCCCCTCTTCCCTCTGGACGCATCGCCTTGGTGACAGCGTTGAGAGGGGGACACTTTGGAAGGTGACTAGGCTCTGCCCCTGTGGGCGGGATTGCACAGTTATCTAGGGCAAGTTCAGCTCCCTTTCCCTCTCCCCTTTAGCCTCCACCCATCAGAACACAGAACAAAGGCCCTCACCAGATGCAGGCACCATGGCAACTGGGCTGTGCAGCACCCAGAACTATGAGCAACAAATTTCTCTGTTCTGGTTAGAGAAACGAATCAAGACACACAGCTAGCAATACGTCTTTGCTCTGCAGACTGTCAGCATCGTCAAGATTACACTGAAATGTGTCCTCCATCTAACCAAAGGCAAATGAGTCTTTTCACCACACAAATAACTCAAGGCTACAATGCTTGGGGGGGGGGGCTCCTTTGTTGTTTAAATACCTTCTTTGGTGGAATGAATTTTAGGTTGAATATTTGAATTGTCTGTAAGTTTGTTGAACAAAATTATTTACTTTTATAATTCTGTAAGCAAAATTTCAGGGATCAGGCTATGAGGAGTTGGTTCATTTAGGTGTGGGGGTTAGAAACACACAGGAAGAAGTCAGTTCCAACTTTTGGTATGGGAGAGGCAGGTGAAGAAAAGGTAAGCAAAATACTCACTTTTCTAAAATTGAACATAATAAGATGCAAAGCATTGTGTAAAGCCATTTAGTATGCAAATGAGAATGTCTAAGGGAATCTAAGCATAAAAGCAAACTCCTTAGCATGCAGGTGACCTTTGTTAGCTCTTCTGGGAGGAGTGAAGAGGCTGGATGAGCGGTGTTTGGGGGAGACTGGGAGGAGGTGTCTCGCAATCCAAGTTCAAGGGGACAATGGAAACTCTGACTGTGAAATGAAGTGGAAAGCAAGGACTGGAGTCCGGAGCAGTTGTCACGTTAACTCCTTGAATGTGGGGTCTGAAGGGGTGTCAGGCAGACACAGACCATCCAAAGTCAACAAGCCAGGCATTCTTCACGAGAAAAGTCGGAAATTGCCATTCTTTCACAATATGCGAGGACAGAGTAAGTCTGACTTGTTGATTTGTGAAATTTAAGAAATAAATATGAATATAAAACCAACAGTTTGGGGCCGGCGCTGGGATGAAGTAGGTTAATCCTCCTCCTGTGGGGCCAGCATCCCATATGGGCCCAGCTGCTCCACTTCTGATCCAGCTCTCTGCTGTGGCCTGGGAAAGCAGTAGAAGACGGCCCAAGTGCTTGAGCCCCTGCACCTCCGTGGGAGACCCAGGAGAAGCTCCTGGCTTCTGATCAGCTCAGCTCGCCGTTGCGGCCATTTGGGGAGTGAACCAGCAGATGGAAGACCTTTCTGTCTCTCCCTCTCACTGTCTGTAACTCTACCTCTCAAATAAATAAATAAAATCTTAAAAATAAAAAAACCCACCATATTTCTGTCATTCGTGTTTCTGGAATAAAAAAAAAAAAACCCTGCTAGCTCTGGAAGAAATGATGTGTGATGCAGAGGTCTGGGGCTGAGCAGCCCTGGTGATGTATGAGGTGCTATCCTCCTTAGAAAGGTGAATTCTGCAGACGAATAATGACCCCAGCACAGTAGGGTGATGAACGGGAGACAGGAGTTTGTGGGCTCCAAACACATACCACTATCTCATCATCACATTGTGCATATGCATCTCATTGTCATACTGCATCCCATAAATACGACTACGTACAAATATTGTGTCCAATTCAATTTTTTTTTAATTTTTAATTTTTATTTATTGACAGGTAGAGTTACAGACAGTGAGAGAGAGAGACAGAGAGAAAGGTTTTCCTTCCATTGGTTCACTCCCCAAATAGCCGCCACAGCTGGCGCTGCACCGATCAGAAGCCAGGAGCCAGGTGCTTCTCCTGATCTCCCATGGGGGTGCAGGGGCCCAAACACTTGGGCCATCCTCCACTGCCCTCCCAGGCCACAGCAGAGAGCTGGCCTGGAAGAGGGGCAACCGGGACTAGAACCCGGTGCCCATATGGGATGCTGGCGCCGCAGGTGGAGGATTAACCAAGTGAGCCAGGGCGCCGGCCCCTCAAACTTAATTTTTAAAACAAAAAATGTGTGAGTGTGTGTGTGTGCCCAATGGATACGCCAACCCTGGCAGTGCTGTGTTTGCATGTGGATAAGACTTAACCATGAAGCCAAATTGCATCTCAGTGGATGAAACCAAGGGGCATCCACTGATCTGGATATGTACTTCCCTTCTCCTCTGTGAAGGACAGGGATTGGGGTCTGGTAAGCAAGTGCTCACCGTGGCAGAATCTGCAGGTGGAGTGCCCAGCTCAGGACAGCGGAGGATCAGATCCTCACACGCAGAGCCGGCCCCCTGGGGACGGACCTGTGCACACTGGCTCTGTTCTCACTGCCAGGACTTCAGAGAAGTTTAGAACATGGGGCCTTCCCTTCCCTTGGTACTGTACCCTGCAGATTATGCGACCAGCCCTGTGTAAGCACCTCTGCACCACAGGTGATCCAGTAAGGACAGAGTGATCCACAGGTGATCCAGTACGGACAGAGGCCTGGGTTGGGGTTCATTCCTTGACTGACTGAGCACACGGGCTGCACCTGCGTGTCTTTGCTGAGTTTCTTAACCTCCCGGTGCCTACGTCATAGGATTCCCAGGAACCGATGTAGGCAAAGTGTCTACGTCAGAGCCCGGCCAAGGGTAAACCACATGTACATGCCGGTTATTGTTGTGCTGTTGTTGTGAATTGCTAGGGAAAATACGCGTGGTCTAGGCTGCCAGCAACCCTGTCACCAACACTCTTGATCCACCGAGTTGCATATGTAAAAGTGGCAAGTCAAGCAATCAGCGGCTGGAGTTCATGTCTTGAATGAAGCACCTGATGGAACACTTAGCTAAATACCTCCTGGATGAATCACCAACACTGAGGATGGTGAGAATGTGGGCTGGTCCCATCAGTGGACTATGGCTAGAAGTTCATTTTGTTTGAATCAAATACTCATCTAGGATAATAAATCTATTTGTAATTATGTGCTCTCTTGAATGTAACAAGGAGTAAGGAGTGAACCTTGGGATCTTTGGAGTGAGGGTGAGGTGGGTAAGTGGAGGTGCCAGAGGAATTTGACAGATACCCTGATAAATGGCACATGGTGGGGTGGAGATCAAACTGCCCTCAGTATCTTTCTTTTTTTTTTTTTTACAATATGTTTATTTATTTGAGAGGCAGAGTTATGGACCAAGACACAGAGAAAAGAGAGAGGTCTTCCATCCACTGGTTCACTCCCCAAAAGGTCCCCAATGGCCGGAAGTGGGCTGATTGGAAGACAGGAGTCAAGAACTTCCTCCGGATCTCCCAGGCAGGTGCAGGGGCCCAAGCACTTGGGCCATCTTCCACTGCTTTCCCAGGCCATTAGCAGGGAGCTGGATCAGAAGTGGAGCAGCCTGGACATGAACCAGAGCCCGTATGGGATGCCGGCCTTGCAGGCGGAGGCTTAGCCCACTTCGCCACAGTGCTGGCCCCCCTCAGTATCTTTCAGTAGTAGTATTTGTGTTCAATGAACTACCCCATTAGATATTCCCATGCGAGGAATATGGGCAGTCCTATTGCTGTTTGGCTCTCGGGTCCAAGGAGGTAAAATTTGCACGAGTGGACTGTGGACAAAGAAGAGAGACTTTTTGTGGATGTTTGAAGGATAAAGCACATTTAGAGTTCAGTTTCTTTAAATGCATGGACTGGGGACATGTAGTGCAGTAAAAATTAAGGTAGTAATTAGACACACCAGGAGCTAATACATAGGGAATTGTGAATCCAATGATTATCCAGGACTTTTAAAAATATATTAACCAACCGGAATCACGGTGTATGCCTGTTTGCACAGCCCTCATGTGAGACTTCCCCGGCAGAGGATAACAAAACAGACAGCAACCTAATGGAAATGGTGCCTATAATGAAACTGGAGGAGGGTCATGAGTCCCTGGGTGACAGGTGTTATTAAAATTTGAAAGGACATTGCTGTTACAGTTGGGCAGGGGATTTCGAATCTTGGCATTGAGGCCATGGATGCCATCTGTTTTGCACTATGCTCCTCCTGATAGCACAGGACACAGGAACAAAAGCTGCTGTCCATTTGAAATGAGGTAGAATGCTTAAAGCACTTCTCTGGAAACACGCATTCTCAACGTGACGCTGTTTCTAAGTCGCAAACTCTGATTCTGCCTACAAGACTGCATCAACCTTCCCCTCACCTCCTTCCTGTTTATAGCTTTTTAATTTTCACGTGAAGCCTCGCATCTAAGATAGGAATTGAAATCATATTTTTATGCTCTGAGTCTCTCTCTATCATTTGCATGCAATTAAATGGTGCCCATAATATTATGCGGTTGTAAAAATATCCCTTTAAAAATATCTTCCCTGTATTTCCCGTCTTCTATAAAGGAGAAGACTATTCTGCAGACTCTCGTTCGTTTAAAACATCTTCAAGCACATTTTTCCTTCCCCTGCTATTTCCCTTCCTACGTCCTCTCAACTTGTATCACATCTATTGCAGCTGGGGGATGCTGAGTGTCGCAGGGTTCATTCTGACCACTTAGACGTCTCCGGCTTCATTGCTGTGACAGTGGGAAGAATACCCCAGGGCTCAATGATTCCTGGGGTGTAGCTGCATTCACCTCCTCCTAGCGCAAACTGTATCTGTCTTGAAACTAAAAGGTCTGTCCCACCACAATTGCTCATGGCTTTCCAAGCGGTTCCCTGCCGACCGATCAGAATTGCTGGTCTCCAGATCTATTAACTCAAATTAGCCAGGCTCAACACGACTTGCTATTTCCCATGTGTGTGTTTTAACTTCTCTTGTGCCATTTGCATTGTACACTCCTTTCCTTGGGGGTGGTTACAACACATTCCAAATTGGGATCAGTTCAGAAATAACAAAGGGATTATTGTTTGGCTTCGTTTTCCAACCCAAAAATAAAGACGCATAATAAATTCAGCTTAGTGTTAACCCCTGTGTGCCACGCATAGTAAAGTATCCTGAAATCAGTAATCAAAATTCCATTGAATTTGTTAGCCTTTGGCTCAGTTCTAAATACTTGTGAATCTCATTTCTCCGATCTGTCTTCTGACACAAAATGCTCTGCATGTTGACGAGACATTTTGAGAAGATTTTTGTTTTCACCTTGAATGATATTGGAATGATTTTTGGAAATAGTCAATGAAATGAGCTCAAAATTCTCCCAGATTCCTCTGTAAATTAACAAAGTGTTTCTGAGAAAGAAAACATCTGTGCCATCAAAGCTTCAGCTGTATTTGTCTTTGTGATCACTGTTAGGGTTTTGCCCAGAAAACAGCTCCCAGGAATGTGCATAACCAGGCAAAACACTCCAAGTCAAATCTGAGGAGCTCGGCAGAGGTTGTGTGTGCAGAATTTCTGACCTGAGCTCCCTGCACTGAGCTGGACAGGCTGCCGAGTCCAAGAGAAGGTGCTCTGGCTGAAGAAGGATTGGAAAATGGGCTTTTACTGGCAAGAGCAGGAGGGCAAAGCTGCAAGAAGCAACATAATTGCCTTCTATATGCTCCTGCTCATGATGCAGAAAAGGGCTGTGTTTCATTACGTGTTATTTCAGAGGCCAGCAGAGCAAACCCACAGGGTTGCAAAGGGGAGGAGAGGCAGCCAGCTCGGATGATCTTCCTCATCAGACCCTGTCAACCACGGCGAGAGACTGTGGAGGTCCAACTGAGCGCCACTGTCCGCGGGGTTGGTAAGGTGTGGGGACCATGCTGTCCTGAGATGAGTCCTTATCGTTTTGTCTTTAAGTTCAAAAAAATTATTAAACTGCATGGAATCCATCTCCAGAGGGACACTAGAAAGAAACAGGTAAGAGAAGGAAACAGGAGGCGGACGCCCCGGACCTGCATAGTTCCATGAGCAGCTTCTTCATCTCAAGTTCGGGGATCTCAGAGGCAGGCTCCTTGGTCAGTTCATCATCGCTCAGGCATGTGCTTCTCTCTGCTCAGCTCCTCTCCCTCCATAACCAGCCCATATCAGGTGAGCCGGGAAACAGAACTAAGTCTAGCTGACAGCAGAATGGGTGCTGGGCCGGGGTCAATGGCACCTGTGTGGTTGCAAGCCGCTCTGCAAGTGCGTGCCTACAACAGGTGTGTCTGCACCTCTGCGGAGACAGGTGCGTGAGAAGGGGCTCCTTTTTAATAACGACGTGAAAGAGATGTAGAACCTGTGCACTATCCATCCCAGCATGAGAAAAAATGGCTGGAGCACAGTCTCTGAGATGGTGGCCAGCACGACTCCTCCCCAGCTCCCTGCGAGGGAAGTGTGGGTCGCCAGTGTGGCTGCACCTGTCACATTTTTTCTAAACACAAAGGAACACAGAGGGACTCCTGCAATTAATGGCCGCCCACCCAGCTGAAGTGGCCCCGGAGCTTAGCTCATCACAGGACAGGAGCAATGACGTCAGACACGCCTTTTGGCAAACCTGTCTGGGGAGAAGCCGGTGTATCCATGCTGATTCAGCGCCTGGCCAGAGCCCCCTGTTTCGCAGTCTGAAAGCGGCACCAGAGGTGCACATACGTGGCTGTCTGCCAGTGAAGCTTGGCTGTGGACATTGACATCTGAATTTCACATGATTTCCATGTGTTATCAATCATCCCTCTTTTGATTTTTTTTTTTCCAGCCATTTACAAATTTTGAAATATGAGACCCACGGACCGTACAAAATAGGTGTTGGAATTTGGTTTGTGGGCTGTAGTGTGCTGACCCTTGATGTGGCCTGTTGTTAAGAAAGTGCTTATTTAAAAACAGGTTCTGGATAGGGTGTGACCATTCTCAATATTCAGAGCAAGTACATACTTTGTAACATTCAGAGCTATTACATACTTTGTAGCTGGTGTGCGTGCTGTTAGAGGGGTGATTTGTCCAAGCATATATCCACAGGAGTCATTGAAGATGACCGTGATTTTTCCAAGCAATCAGGTATTCACTCTGTGACTACAACCTAGGCTTCAGCCCTCATTGTCAGCTGGTGTGTCCACTGTGCAGGTGTCTCAGCTCCTGGAGCTGCTGTGTTGCATGGAGGCACCTGTTTTGTGCAGCTACGAAAGGGGCAGTTTCACCTGAGGGAATGGAAACTCAATGTCAAGGTTAGGTAAAGCAATGGATTCTAATCGACCTGACAACAAAGAGGTGTCGGTGCTCATTTTTAAATTTTGCATTTCTTTATTTTATTTGAAAGGCAGAGGGAAGCACAGAGAGATGAGAGAGTGAGGGGGAGTGGGGAGAAGAGAGAGAGACAGAGAGAGAAAGAGAGAGAGAGAGATCTCCAAACCCCTCGTTTACTCTCCAAATGCCCACAACAGCTGGGGATGGGCCAGGCCTAAGCCAGGAGCCTGGAACTCATTCCAGGTCTCCCTTGTGGGTGGCAGGGACCCAAGTACTTGAGACATCACCTGCTGCCTCCCAGGGTGCTCATTAGCAGGGAGCTGAAATCTGCAGCAGAGCCAGGCTTGGAACCTGGTCCCCTAGTGTGGGGTGTGAGTTTCCCAAGCACCAGCCAGATGTCTGTCCCTTTTTCTTTCTTCCTTTCCTTCTCTCTCTCTCTCTCTCTCTCTCTCTCTCTCTCTCTCTCTCTCTCTCTCTCCTTTCTTTAAAAAATCATTTGAAATGCATAGAGACAGAAACAGAGAAGCCGTGGTCATTTTTGATCCCACAGAAGATCCGAGGCTGGTTTATCATCCTGTTTAAACAGGATCTGTTAACTGCTGAAGGCAATGTGATGATGGCACAAATTGGGGTAGATGCTGTGTTTATTTCCCTGACATTGGCATAATCCGAGAAGGACAATTGGGGCTTTCACTTATTCATAACTGTTTAGAATTAGGTAATGAAAAGTGACAAGGTTATCTAAATACAAATTCAGTGCGGGTTTAATCTCATTCAGTTTTAATAGAAATTTCAGGCAGGAGCCGAACTGCTGGAAAGACACCTTTTGCAAGAGCTTCAGCTTCTCCTCCTATCTATAATTCCAATATCAGAGGGACAGAAATTAATAACTAACCAGATCTATAATAACACACAGCTATGTTTACAAACAAAATGCACCCGTAAGAAAAAAATGCAGAAGCTTCGCAAAAATATAGAGCAACTGCATTTCCAAGCCATATAGAGAAATTTGTGATATACTTGAAAATCAAATAGAACAAGTCACTCACATGTTGAGAAATCAGGGTCGTCCATCAAAGCACCAGGTTGATGATGGGAACTGAATCCGCTGACAGCCAATTTATTCAGTGGCAATTTAGACTCGGGCCAATGCAATTCTATCTCCAGCTATTCCAGTCTTCTCTGCCAATGGCAGAAGTTCAAGCCGCACAATACCCCATTTCCAATCACAAAACAACATGGTTGAGATAAGTTCTTATTAGTTTTGTTTCTTAGCTTTTCTGAATTCTTACGAGGATCTGTTGGCACTGCTACATACTAACTTTCTCCCCCTTATTATATTCTTAAGGTTCATACACCTATCCTACTTTCAGTTAAAATAAAGTGGAAATGCATGAGTTTTAATAAGAAGTCAAGAGTACACATTTCTTTGTTTTGAGAAACCACACAATGGAAGAGTCAGGAGGGGTTTAATTAAATAAGACAGGAGAAGATGATTCTAGGAGACGGCTCACTATCTCCAAAAATAGGTGTGAAGATGCAGAAAACAGAGTATTCAGGACTTCAATTCCATGCTCTGCTTTTAAGTTTTGTAAGAAAAATATCAGTTGCTTAGTGCTTGGTGTCGTATTTTTGTTTTTTTTTTTTTTCATAATTTTTGACAGGCAGAGTGGACAGTGAGAGAGAGAGACAGAGAGAGAAGGTCTTCCCTTTTGCCGGTTGGTTCACCCCTCCAATGGCCGCCGCTGCAGCCGGCGCACCGCGCTGATCCGATGGCAGGAGCCAGGATCCAGGTGCTTTTTCCTGGTCTCCCATGGGGTGCAGGGCCCAAGCACCTGGGCCATCCTCCACTGCA